AATCAAAATATTTATTTATTATATTTATTGAATGTTTATAAAAAAAATTTCATTTACATTACTTAATCAAAATTAAAACTACTAATCATCCCATACATTAGCATGATTTGTTTCTTATATATCATAATAATCATCAACATTTTCTTCTCTTTGATCTACACCCCCCTACTAAAAGTATTTGACAGTTTCAAATGATTGGCATTTTTATAAAAATTGGCTAAAATTCAAATCGAAAACTTTATTTATAATATTTAATAAAATTTATATTACCAGAATCTCTACTTATTAACTTTATAAAGCTGCTATTTATACATTGTAGGGTTTCCTTTACTTTCAATTACAGCGATAACTTTTTGAGGCATACTATTTACCAAATTTTTCAAAATATCATCATCAATTTGTAACTACTTTTCCTACAAAATTGCAATAAGTTCTCACTTATTTTTTAGTAGGAGTTCATGCTCATGTACTTTCTTTTCAAGATGATCCTATAAATGCTCAATTGGGTTAAGATCAAGACTTTGAGTAGGCCATAGAAAAGAAGATATCAAATTTTCTTCTTTCACACAAGTACTATATTTGCTCTATATACAGGAGTATTATCATCTTGAAAAATGAAGCTAATATTTTCACTTAGGTCTTTTATAAAAAATATTAAATGAGTTTGTAACATATTTTTATATACCGCACCTGTTATTTTTCCATCTAGCACTATTAAAAGACTAAGATTATTTTTAGCAAAACAACCCTATACTATTACTTTATTATTACTAGATTTTAATGTGAAAACCAAGCAGTTTATATTATATTTTTCATGGAATTGATACCAAACCCATTGTTATCCATCATTTTAAAATAAAGAAATTGGGATTCATCACTTCAAATAATATTATTCCATTTCTCATTCCAGGTTTTATATTTTTAACATCATTTTAAGCATTTTTTTCTATTATCCTCTAAAATAAAGTGTTTTCTTTTTTCAATTCTGCCAAAATAATTATTTTTATGTAGTATTTGTCTGGCAGTCAGTGTATAAAATCTAAGTTAAATTTATGTGCACAAGTTGATTAATTAAAGAAAATCATAACATTTTCTTATGTAAAATTACCTTTTTTGTATTTATCTATTTTTAGTAATAATTTGTGCACATTTTATGTTATGTAATATGTGCATACAAAAAATTAATGTGTACATGTGCACATTGTGCACATAGATTTTACACACTGCTGGCAGTACTATCACTAATTTGAGTAAGATTTAGTTTGTTAAAATATTCAGTAATTTCTTCAAGTGAATCTTTTCTATTTTCCCTAGTTTTACGCATAAGAGTTTGTTCTTCTCGCTCTGTTAAAAGATGTAGTCTTCTAAATTGAGGAGCAACTTCTGTGAGACCTTTTTTACAAAAGTTTTTATTACACTCTGACAAGTAATTCTGGGTATTTTTAAAATGCTAGAAATCTCAGAAGCTTCGTAATTGCTCTTGTGAAGTCTGATAATCATTTCATGTTTAAAAACAGTTAGTTCTTTTTACTTGACAGTTTTCAAAAATTTATATGATAAATAAAACTAAAATTTTTATTTTATTAAAATACAAGTTTTTACTGTTAAATCTGAAAAAAAAAGCTTATTAAATTTGGTTAGATCTATGGTAAGAAATTCAAATTTAAAAAAAGGTTATACAATAGATTTTTATTCGTCAAAATTAATCTGCCAAAGACTTTTGATAGGAGGTGTATATTATCCATTTCTATCTTACCATTTGATTGACTTGATTGTTCCAGATAATTATAATCAAAGATTAATTCATCCTCAATTTCATCACGTTTATTAGAGATATCATAACATTTAAAAGCTCTTTGAATTAAATTAACACCAATAGCATTCCATGAATTATTAATCCAATTTATTACAGTTTCATACAAAGGTCTTTTGATATTACCAGTAAGTGTTAATTCTTTAATAGAATCAGACATCCAATTGTTATAATTTCATAACATTTATAAAATAAGATAAAAAAATAAAAATGATTATTAAATTTATTTTTTAAAAATCAATATAATTTATGTTTCTTACCTTTATTTTAAATGATTTGTTTACTAAAACATCTAAAGGTTGTAGGTTAGATGTTAATCCTCCAGAAATAATAGTAATATTAGTATTTTTTTTCACTAAAACACCTTTTTACAGAATTAATAAGAAGTGCAAAAAATAAGTCTAAAACTAGTAATAATTGTAGATTTGAAAGTCTTACATGCTTAATCCAAACATTTTTAATCCAATAAAGCATTTCATTTTTATTCATCCATCCAGTTGGATTAGCTCAAACAATAACTTCTTGTGAAAAATTATCTTGCAAAACTTTTTTAAGTTTGAAAATTACAAGAGGAGAAAGTTTAGTTCCATTAGCTATACAAGTTAATATTATTATTTATTTATTTAACTTCATCGAAAAGTAAAATAAATTTATTTATTTAACTCTGCCAATACATAATCAGGAATACATCAATGGGATTTATAATTTTTGGAAGCATATTCTGCCAGTTTACTAGTGATTTCTTTCCTATATAAATCCATATATCGCCATGCTTTTCTTGCAAACCTTCTTATTGTGATTATATTAACGGACTCTAAGGTTGCAGAAACAACACGTTGCAAGCCTGGCCATGAATAATCACAGTTTTCTCGCATATATCATTTTGCCACCCCAGTACCATTCAATATAGTTTAATTCACAATAGAACTTTGGATAGAAGATACATTTATGCCTAGCTTCTAAAATTACTTCTTCTATTGCACTTTTTTGTGCCAAAAAGTCAGGTTGTAAAGAAATTATCCATCATGCACAACAATCTACCCTATTTTCATCATCTATTTTGTCTTTACATAACTGATATTCTGCATTTAATCCATTTTTTCATAATTCACGCTCAATTAGAACCTGTTTCATTCCTTTGGGTTCACCATTTCCATTTATCATTAATTGATGCTGGTTATTTGGTCCAAAGACTGTGTTTTTCATCTTTGATTACTTGCCTTCAGGTTTTAAGTTCATCCTACTGGCAAAAAGAGCATCAGATTTAAATGCAGTATGGTTTGAACTATTATCAAATGCAAATAATGCAATACAGTTAGGAAAAGTATTTGAAAAATGGGAATAGCCTTTGTTTTTATTTGTTCAATTAAATGGTCACTTATCCAGAAACCTTTCCGGTCTTTACCTGGCTGAAGATAAGCACGTACTTCCTTAGGTATAAAAGAATTTTCTTGACATTGTTGTGTATTTAATTTAAGCCAGCCACATTCTTCTGACAAAAATTCACTAACCTAAAAGAAAAAAAAAAGAAAAACAGTTAAAAAAAATTAAAAAAATTAAAACAAAAAAATGAATAAAAAAAAAGGAGAAATAACCATTATCGAACGCTCATTTCCTTTTTTGCATAATGGCAATTCTTCTGATTTTGCCCATACCCCTCGCTTGCTATCATTAGAATAAAATACATGCTCATCGTGTGTTATAAGGATTATTTCCTTATCATTGAGTTCTAATATTAGTGGTTTTCGTTTCATGTTTTCACCTTCATATTTCGCCATATATTTTTCATAATGATAGATTTCGTCTAGAAACAGTTGGCAATATTTTACCACATCAGGACATTCATGACTATTGTAATATATGCCTATTTTTATATTATTAAAAAATTTAAAAAATGAATCTAAGGTAAGTATATTTAATAAATACATACCTTGTTTCTGAGATTTAAAAAAATAACTAAGTATATTCAACCAACGTGTTGCAGTTGCTGCACTAATGGTTTTTTTTGTTATTCCAGAGTCAACAAGTAATTTGTTTTCAACAAATTCCTTGAATTTTAGTGGAGTGGTTATTCCACCTTGAGAACGAATCCAAGTATGATATTGTTCCACTATATTCTCATCATCTATTAGTTGTATCATCTTTTTATATTTGCCTTGATGGCTTACTGGAAGATGATTATATTTGAGCCAATACTTTACTCAATATCTAATGGATCTTGCATTGTATGCTACACCCTCAACAAAAACTAACTGCGCAGATTCCATACTAGCTTTCATCTTCCTTTTTCCATTATCATCTAGTCTTATCAAGTATTCAAATATTGCCCATTTTTTGGTATATTCAGCCACGGTAAATGACTTTTGCGATTCTTTAAGCTCAATTTTTAAGTCTTCGATTTTTTCACTTAGATTAAGAGGATTTTGTTCTTCATCTTCTATATCATCCAAGATAAAGATGCCAGCCGAAACTCCCTCAAAATAATTTCGTCATATCCCTTACTATGTTTTTAATATAGTTTCGGCTAATTTTGGGTTTCGGGGTTTCATCATACCCCTCACTATGTTTTAATATAGTTTCAGCTGTTTATTAATTGCCTTTTTTGAGTTTCGTCCCTCATTTTTAATCCAAGATTTTCTCAAAATCAATCGGGATTGATTGGTATACATTAATAAATATTGATATTTTGGCGGTTTCTTTTGCAGATTTTGTAAAACTGCTACTAGGACCATATTTATACAAAATATGTGGATTTCTTCATTTTTCCAATAAGGTAAGGTCCACGTTTTTTGTTTCAAATGTGCATTATTTGATCATACTTATTCAACTTTTTTTTCTTTATCATTTAAAATATCCATTTCGTCATCCTACCCGCTATTGTTTTCATCTCCCCAATCATCAAAAAATCGTGGTTTTTTTGCAAACTTTTTGTCATTATCTTGTTCTTGTTCTTTTGCTTTAGTTTTTCTTTTTAAAAGAAGTGATATAATTATTTAAATGGTCAAGACGTAAAAATCGAAAAAAAGACATTAATTTTTATGTGAAAATGTGTCTAAAACCTGTGACCAAAATGCTGATCGGTAGTCCGAATTTTTCCTTTTTACTCTGTGTCATATAAACATTTTGCTGGACTTTAAATTGAAATAAATTGGAAAATTTCTATAATATTTTAAAAATTAAACCAATAAAAATATTCAGCTAGTATTGCTTTATTATTTTATCAGATTAAATTTACAATTTATTATTTTTTTTATAACTTATAAAATTTTAAAGTCATCTTATATTTATGTCATTTATAGATGATTGCCACCATAGCATTTATTTTTATTAAATTTAATAATATTTATTATTTAATGTTAAAAATATTATTTAATAATAAAAAATGCTTAAAAAGCTTATTTGAATACTTAAAACAAAGTATTGAAGTCATTTTTTAAAAAAGAATTATTTATTTCGAAGTTTTAAAACTTGAAATGCTGAGAAAGAAAAAAGTTTTTTTTTATTTTTATTTTTTTATTTTTTTTAACCTTATGATAGATGATTTAGTTACACTATAACAATAATTAATACAATTAATACCCTTCTAGTATAATACTTTACCCTTACACAATACCTTCAGGATATTATTCAAGCTAACCTGATTTTTTTGATTAAAACTGGAAATACTGTATGTAGTGTTATATAGTAAGTGCTTTTTAAGGCATCCTAATAGAGTTATAGGTTATGTATTATTTAAATTATATTCCTATAGTTTCAGTTTAGGTATGGGGTAAATGAAAGTGGAGTTCTAATGATTTGAAATATTATTTAAAATAAAACAATTACACGCTATTTTCCAAAAAATCTTCTTTAAGAAGAGTTCTAAATATTTGAGCATTTTATTTGTAATTTTTAAAGGTCTTGCAGCTTTTTCGCCAACTAGTATTTGTAGAGTATCTTCTCATTCTTGCTCAAATAATAAGAATCTTAGTGTATCATATATGTGTAAATTAATATTTGTTAATGGTAAATACGAACTTTCCATTTATCATGAATTGGAACTGGATGATACTCAGTTCCAGTAACTTTTTGAAAATGTCTGGTAATTTTAGCTTTAACATCATTTGAATCTATAAGTAAACTTCGATTCAAACTGAAATTATTCATATATCAATCTAATTGAACTGTAATTCATTGTCTGTTAAGAAGCAAATTATACATAGCCTTTTGATTGTCTTTAAAATTGTCACATCTTTTGTTGATTACTTCAGTAATAGATTTTAATTTATATTCAGCTTCATATAATTTTGATTTCATCATAATGATCTTGATAAGGTCTTTAATTATATTCTTCAAGTTTTCAATAGTTATTAGAGTATAGATATTGGAAAGATTAAATGTGACATCATACAGGTTTGTAAAGTAGGAAATTTTAAAGAAATATTTGGTTCATACATTATCGAATTGATGATTTTTAATGCATTTTTTCAGAATATTATATAATTTCTGGACTGCTTTAAGGTGCTTATATGTATCTTTTAGTAATTTAGGATGAAGGTCTTTTTGGTATATAGAAAAGTATTTGTGATGATAGTTTTTATGGCTACGTCAATAATACATTTTTGAAGATGGATCCATGTAAAATTGAGTTTGTGTTTTGAATTGAAATTAATAAGCTTTATGTGTGCCAAAGGTGATTTTTCTAAAT